GAAACAAACCGATTAGCACAAATATTCAACAAAAATAACGTTAAAATCAGTTACAACTGCATAAAAAATATAACAGAATAATAAAAAGCCAAAACAAAAAATGATAACCTACAAAAATGAAACCAAAGATCCAAAATGCATCTGCAGAAATAGAACTACATGTCCACTCCAGGGAAATTGCCAACATACGAATACAATATATAAAGCCAAGGTAAGTGCAAACAACAGCACAATGTACTACATCGGTGCCACTGAGGGTTCATTCAAGAAAAGAAAAAACAACCACAACTTTTCATTCACCAACAGAAAATACTTGAACAGCATTACACTATCCATATACATATGACATCTAAAAGACAGAAACATCACACCAAGAATAAGCTGGAAAATATTGAAAAGTGCACCTGCCTACAACAACATTTTAAAAAAAAATGCCTACTTTGCCTACACGAAAAAGTAGCAATAATATCCCACACCCCGCAAAAGAATTTACTAAACAAAAGTTCAGAGATAATTTCCAAATGTAAGCATGAAAATAAATACCTATTAGCAGAATTTATACCAAACGGATAAAAAAAAAAGAAAAAAACACACCAACAATCACTCTCTAGTTCAAGCTACCAACACAATATTTACCTTTATTGTTATTATCATCCCACCAATATTACTAATCACTTCTGCCACTTTACAATAACTATTAACTACTAAAATTATTATTACCACCAGTCCCCAACACCATTACTACCACATCACAACTACTCTTACCATATTAGTCTGCTATAATTATTAACGTAAATTACATCTCCCTCCCCGCCCAGAAAATTTAACACCAACAAATAAAAACCAATAAGGATTACGAACTGCAATTTCTACCAGTTACATATACGCAGTCATCAACAACAAGCAAATTAATCAGTTTGTCTGACGATCGCAAAAGCGTGAAACCCAGGGTCACAAACTCACATCTATCCAACCAAATATGTTAGCTCTATCTCTGATATTGAGCGCTTTCTAATAAGTACCGCGCATATAATATATAAATAATAATATATATAATATATTACACATATATATATATTTATATACACACACTTTTCACACACACACAAACAAACACATACACACATACATATATATATCTATATATATATATATATATATAGAGAGAGAGAGAGAGAGAGAATTTATGAAAAACTAGGTAATCCGCATGGGTAAACCTAAGGAGGATAAAATCCAGAGAGCTCAATGTAAATCCAGAGCAAATAATTTAAATAAAAACAGACCACTTATATATATATGTTTTGAACAATAAAAATATTAAAAAAATTAAATTTACAGACACACTGGGTTGTATATTAATATTTTTATTTGTTTTATTGTTTCTATTAGATTCATCGACTAGTTTCGACCAGCATGGTCATCATATCTATATAGCTATCTATAATATATCATATATATATATATATATATATATATATATATATATATATATAATGCGTAACTTCAAAAATGTGTAAATTTCTTTTCATTTTTCGTTTCAACCTTTGGAAGTAAAGTCTGATGATCCGCAGTCCTTTAAAAGGGCTGTGGTGAAATAATTTATTACATGGAACCTTAAAGTGGTCTGTTTTTATTTAAATTATTTGCTCTGGATTTACATTGAGCTCTCTGGATTTTATCCTCCTTAAGTTTACCCATACAGATTTCCTAGTTTTTCATAAACTAACTAACTAACTAATATATATATATATATATATATATATATATATATATATATATATATATATATTATTGAAACCGACCACCTAATATATATATATATATATATATATATATATATATATATATATTAGAGAAAGACGAAGAAATATCATCCATGGTTACTATAATATCAATTTTTATTTTGCATTGTTCTTCTTAATCAGCATATATTTTTTATAGTTATTGTTGGAAACGGAAAATGTAATGGTAGCAACTTCCTCCGACCTGCCTTTCAGTCAGCATGTTTGTTTCTTTTATTAAATTCTAGCTGGCCCTGCTTGAATAAAGTGACAAGCACGAGTAGTAATTGTGTTTGTGTAACACTTCAAAAAATAATTCGTAATTACTTGCAGAAATTAAGTCTTGACAGTTATTACTTTCATTGTCATTGTTATTAGGCGCCAATGGAGTTGTAGCAACGACAAAATTCCTGTGAGTGGGGTGGGTGATGCTACCAGATGATATACGTAGACCCTAACTTCATACCAGGTCGACAGGGTGAGTGTATCGCGTGAAAAAAAAAACATCTGTGGCTACTTTTGTTTTCAGGCAACGCACACAGAAAATCGCTGACCATCTCGTGACATAAGTTTAGTGACACAGCTACTTTTTATAAATGGCTACCAAAGATGAAATATACTACTTATGTTTGAATTATTTGGACACACTGATTGGGCTACAAGCCGGTGTGTGTGTACGTGTATGCTCACTCGAGCATCTGGGTACCTGTGGCTGTGCATGTGAGTTTTTGTCTGTGTGTACTTCACAAATAATGTTATTTTTTTACGTGGATTTTTTCTTTTGTCTGACATATCTTATTACTATAAACGGTATTTTATATAAACACAGAAAAATATATTAACAACGAACCCTTAAAAATGGCTAATGATTATTATCCCAAGCCTGATAGTGCTTGGGATAATAATCAATATGGACACTTTCTACACTATCTTTATTTTCATAAAAAGAAAACTGTAAGAACTTTGAAAAAACTGAATGACAAGTGAATATATATATATATATATATATATATATATATATATATATATATATAGTGTATTGGGGCAGCAGATCATTATTCAATCATATATTGTTAAATATAACAGACAACGAATGTCTGTTGTGTTTAATCATGAGCCATTCTAAACTTCGTATATTTGCTTAAATTTCGGTAGAAAAGAAAGACAAAAATTATCCAACATTTAGATATTTTTTGTTATGCTGTTCATTGATGTAAGCTTTCGGCTCACATGAGCCATCTTCAGATTGGCTATACTGACATTTTAACAAAGATATTCACCATCGAAGATAATATTTTGTTATGTTGACATAGAAGACTGCTATGCGACGAAAACAGACGCAGGTTATCTGTTTTTTGACGAACGCAGACAGCGTAAAACCCAGGATCACAAACTCACATCAATCCATATATATATATATATATATATATATATATATATATATATATATATATATATATATATATATATCCTGGGTTTTACGCTGTCTGCGTTCGTTAAACAAACAGATAACCTGCGTCTGTTTTCGTCGCATAGCGTCCGTTTTCGTCGCATAGCAGTCTTCTATGTCAACATAACAAAATATTATCTTCGATGGTGAATATCTTTGTTTAGTTAGAATTAATTTATTGGTGGCTGTAGAAAATTCAACAATTTTCTTTCAAATAATTTTTATTTTCCGAAGTACTTTAAATCTCATTATCAGGGTTGCATATCTATGGATGTGTTATGCGTTAACTCTATAAATTCAAAATATTTTTTACGGTAATTTATGTGATTTTTTAAAAGATTTTTTTAAAAATTTAATTGTAGTATTTCAATTTAGTATTTTTTTTTATATAACACTTTGTTGCTACAAAGATTTAAGAACTTTGTTGCTATACTCCTAGATGACTTTATTTATTTTTGGTCGCAATTCTTTTATATAAAGGGCTTCTAGAATTTTTAGTTTTTGCTTATTATTATCTTGATGTATTTTCGACTAATATCTGTCTGAACTATGAATGTGAACATTAGTCTTCCTTTAAAAGTTCAGAGATTGACTATGATCGTTCAAGTGAAACGTATGCCATCTCGTCATCGTCGTTGTTGATAACATAGATATTAACATTTTCATCAGAGGTGCAATCTCCCAAGGGACATTTAAATTGATATAACATGTTGGTCTTTCGTAAGACGCTGGTTGATGGAGAAGAGTTGTTATGGATGACTAGGTTGGTTGTATTAAATTTAGTATAGTATATAATTAATTCATTTTTTTTTACTTGGATCTGTGGTGGATATATTAGTGTCTATGAGTCTTTTTAGAATTTTTTCCTCTTGCTTTTAGTTAGAATGCATTTGATTACGGTATAGTACTTTGATATGTTTAGAGTTATTTGAGGACGCATTATGTTCATTATTATTTATATTAATATTCCCAATAGCTCGTCAAATTTGTTCATCAACGATGTAATTAGGAAAGTCATTATTAGTGAGGGTTTGTTTAATATTTTTTTAATTCAGTATAGAAAATATTTCTTGATGAAGAGTTTGCTTTTGCACGGTTTATAAAGTTCCATATAATAGTTATTTTGTAATAGGACATTCGCTTTTATAGTTGAGAGTGCACGTGTTTATGCTAGATGCTTTTTTTATATGGGGAAGTAGTAAATGTATTATTATTAATGTCTATAATACATCAAGAAACGAAATTTTATTGTCGTATATATATATATATATATATTTATATATATATATATATATATATATATATATTAAGAAATGGACAAAGTCCGACAATTTATTTATTAAAGACATTTTTATGTTTAACGTTCTTTTTTATAGATACAAGTATTTAAGTAAATGCTCTGTTTATAATAAACAGTATTAAATAACATTTACCGGCCTGAATGTCCGAGAAATTTTCATAGAAAATATTCGTCCTTTGACAGGATTCGAACCTTTAATCTTAACATCAAGAAACTGATTAGAGAACTGAAAAGGATCAGAAGAAAAATGAACAGAGACAATATGTCTATATTATTCAATGAAAACTGTTTGAATGAAGAAATGCTGCCTAAATATACAGATATATATATACATGTGTGTGTGTGTGCGTCTACAATTTTAACGACATTTAGTTTTTGATAATGACTGAAACGACCAAATGTACTTATCAAAAACAAAAAAAAACAAAATACTTTCGCCAATTTACCCACAATTTTAATCCCGATATACAACTTAAATAGATAGATAGATAGATAGATAGATAAGGAACGGGTGAAATACATAGATATGAACAGACTGAAATAGATAGATAGATAGATAGATAGATAGATAGATAGATAGATAGATAGATAAGGAACGGGTGAAATACATAGATATGAACAGACTGAGATAGATAGATAGATAGATAGATAGATAGATAGATAGATAGATAGATAGATAGATAGAAACAGACAGACAAGGATATTAAAATGCGGAAATACACCCAGTGTGGAAATACAGACAGACAGATAGATAGATAGATAGATAGATAGATAGATAGATAAGGAACGGGTGAAATACATAGATATGAACAGACTGAAATAGATAGATAGATAGATAGATAGATAGATAGATAGATAGATAGATAGATAGAAACAGACAGACAAGGATATTAAAATGCGGAAATACACCCAGTGTGGAAATACAGACAGACAGACAGATAGATAGATAGATAGATAGATAGATAGATAGATAGATAGATAGATAAGGAACGGGTGAAATACATAGATATGAACAGACTGAGATAGATAGATAGATAGATAGATAGATAGATAGATAGATAGAAACAGACAGACAAGGATATTAAAATGCGGAAATACACCCAGTGTGGAAATACAGACAGACAGACAGATAGATAGATAGATAGATAGATAGATAGATAGATAAGGAACGGGTGAAATACATAGATATGAACAGACTGAGATAGATAGATAGATAGATAGATAGATAGATAGATAGATAGATAGATAGATAGAAACAGACAGACAAGGATATTAAAATGCGGAAATACACCCAGTGTGGAAATACAGACAGACAGATAGATAGATAGATAGATAGATAGATAGATAGATAGATAGATAGATAGATAGATAAGGAACGGGTGAAATACATAGATATGAACAGACTGAAATAGATAGATAGATAGATAGATAGATAGATAGATAGATAGATAGAAACAGACAGACAAGGATATTAAAATGCGGAAATACACCCAATGTGGAAATACAGACAGATAGATAGATAGATAGATCGCATTCTCCTGTAAATGACATTCTTTTGAAGCTAAGGTATGAAAAATTTATATCAATTTCATAATCTGAAAAAATATTTAAACTAATTTCATGCATTTTAAAAATAATGGGAATATATTATTCTAATTGTGACGAAAGTGATTTCCGTCATCACATCAATGTTGCTAACAAAGAAAAACAAGAAACTATTCTGAAACATTTCCTATAAAAACGAGATAAAAATACCTTCTAACTAAATATCATTTGCTATCAAATCATCCACGTTCGTGAGCAGCAGACATTTATGACAAATCCGTTCTTGCTAAGCTGATTGCTAAAGGAATGAAATTTGACAAATTTTGTAACAGGATTTTCTTTCGAAAAACGTATTTCTTATCTCGAGTGTCTGTCTCGTAAACACTTGGAAGCGACAGTCCATCTTAATCCGAAAAAGAAAGAAAGAGTTAAAATATTCACGAAATGTTACCAAATGGAGGACATTAATCACTGCCAGCCTGTATGATTTTATCATTACTTCTATAACATTATAATATTCTGCTAACCCGTTGCGTATTGAAAATAGTGTTACTAGCTCATACTTGATTAATCGTTTCTAGATTATAGTTGACTGAAGATCGTTGCTACCTACAGTTGACTGAAGATCGATCCTAGCCCATAGTTGACTGAAGATCGTTGCTAACCTACAGTTGACTGAAGATCGATCCTAGCCCATAGTTGACTGAAGATCGTTGCTAACCTACAGTTGACTGAAGATCGATCCTAGCCCATAGTTGACTGAAGATCGTTGCTAACCTACAGTTGACTGAAGATCGATCCTAGGCTATAGTTGACTGAAGATCGTTGCTAACCTACAGTTGACTGAAGATCGATCCTAGCCCATAGTTGACTGAAGATCGCTGCTAACCTACAGTTGACTGAAGATCAATCCTAGCCCATAGTTGACTGAAGATCGTTGCTAACCCACAGTTGACTGAAGATCGATCCTAGCCCATAGTTGACTGAAGATCGTTGCTAACCTACAGTTGACTGAAGATCGATCCTAGCCCATAGTTGACTGAAGATCGTTGCTAACCTACAGTTGACTGAAGATCGATCCTAGGCTATAGTTGACTGAAGATCGTTGCTAACCTACAGTTGACTGAAGATCGATCCTAGCACATAGTTGACTGAAGATCGTTGCTAACCTACAGTTGACTGAAGATCGATCCCAGCCCATAGTTGACTGAAGATCGTTGCTAACCTACAGTTGACTGAAGATCGATCCTAGCCCATAGTTGACTGAAGATCGTTGCTAACCTACAGTTGACTGAAGATCGAGCCTAGCCCACAGTTGACTGAAGATCGATCCTAGCCCACAGTTGACTGAAGATCGTTGCTACCTACAGTTGACTGAAGATCGATCCTAGCCCACAGTTGACTGAAGATCGTTGCTAACCTACAGTTGACTGAAGATCGATCCTAGCCCATAGTTGACTGAAGATCGTTGCTAACCTACAGTTGACTGAAGATCGATTAGCCCATAGTTGACTGAAGATCGTTGCTAACCTACAGTTGACTGAAGATCGATCCTAGCCCACAGTTGACTGAAGATCGTTGCTAACCTACAGTTGACTGAAGATCAATCTAGCCCATAGTTGACTGAAGATCGTTGCTAACCCACAGTTGAATGAAGATCGATCCTAGCCCATAGTTGACTGAAGATCGTTGCTAACCTACAGTTGACTGAAGATCGATCCTAGGCTATAGTTGACTGAAGATCGTTGCTAACCTACAGTTGACTGAAGATCGATCCTAGGCCATAGTTGACTGAAGATCGTTGCTAACCTACAGTTGACTGAAGATCGATCCTAGGCTATAGTTGACTGAAGATCGTTGCTAACCTACAGTTGACTGAAGATCGATCCTAGCCCATAGTTGACTGAAGATCGTTGCTAACCTACAGTTGACTGAAGATCGATCCTAGCCCATAGTTGACTGAAGATCGTTGCTAACCTACAGTTGACTGAAGATCGATCCTAGCCCATAGTTGACTGAAGATTGTTGCTAACCTACAGTTGACTGAAGATCAATCCTAGCCCATAGTTGACTGAAGATCGTTGCTAACCTACAGTTGACTGAAGATCGATCCTAGCCCATAGTTGACTGAAGATCGTTGCTAACCTACAGTTGACTGAAGATCGATCCTAGCCCATAGTTGACTGAAGATCGTTGCTAACCTACAGTTGACTGAAGATCGATCCTAGCCCACAGTTGACTGAAGATCGTTGCTAACCTACAGTTGACTGAAGATCAATCCTAGCCCATAGTTGACTGAAGATCGTTGCTAACCCACAGTTGACTGAAGATCGATCCTAGCCCATAGTTGACTGAAGATCGTTGCTAACCTACAGTTGACTGAAGATCGATCCTAGCCCATAGTTGACTGAAGATCGTTGCTAACCTACAGTTGACTGAAGATCGATCCTAGCCCATAGTTGACTGAAGATCGTTGCTAACCTACAGTTGACTGAAGATCGATCCTAGGCTATAGTTGACTGAAGATCGTTGCTAACCTACAGTTGACTGAAGATCAATCCTAGCCCATAGTTGACTGAAGATCGTTGCTAACCCACAGTTGACTGAAGATCGATCCTAGCCCATAGTTGACTGAAGATCGTTGCTAACCTACAGTTGACTGAAGATCGATCCTAGCCCATAGTTGACTGAAGATCGTTGCTAACCTACAGTTGACTGAAGATCGATCCTAGGCTATAGTTGACTGAAGATCGTTGCTAACCTACAGTTGACTGAAGATCGATCCTAGCCCATAGTTGATTGAAGATCGTTGCTAACCTACAGTTGACTGAAGATCGATCCTAGCCCATAGTTGACTGAAGATCGTTGCTAACCTACAGTTGACTGAAGATCGATCCTAGCCCATAGTTGACTGAAGATCGTTGCTAACCTACAGTTGACTGAAGATCGATCCTAGCCCACAGTTGACTGAAGATCGATCCTAGCCCACAGTTGACTGAAGATCGTTGCTACCTACAGTTGACTGAAGATCGGTCCTAGCCCACAGTTGACTGAAGATCGTTGCTAACCTACAGTTGACTGAAGATCGATCCTAGCCCATAGTTGACTGAAGATCGTTGCTAACCTACAGTTGACTGAAGATCGATCCTAGCCCATAGTTGACTGAAGATCGTTGCTAACCTACAGTTGACTGAAGATCGATCCTAGCCCACAGTTGACTGAAGATCGTTGCTAACCTACAGTTGACTGAAGATCAATCCTAGCCCATAGTTGACTGAAGATCGTTGCTAACCTACAGTTGACTGAAGATCGATCCTAGCCCATAGTTGACTGAAGATCGTTGCTAACCTACAGTTGACTGAAGATCGATCCTAGGCTATAGTTGACTGAAGATCGTTGCTAACCTACAGTTGACTGAAGATCGATCCTAGCCCATAGTTGACTGAAGATCGTTGCTAACCTACAGTTGACTGAAGATAGATCCTAGCCCATAGTTGACTGAAGATCGTTGCTAACCTACAGTTGACTGAAGATCGATCCTAGCCCACAGTTGACTGAAGATCGTTGCTAACCTACAGTTGACTGAAGATCAATCCTAGCCCATAGTTGACTGAAGATCGTTGCTAACCCACAGTTGACTGAAGATCGATCCTAGCCCATAGTTGACTGAAGATCGTTGCTAACCTACAGTTGACTGAAGATCGATCCTAGCCCATAGTTGACTGAAGATCGTTGCTAACCTACAGTTGACTGAAGATCGATCCTAGCCCATAGTTGACTGTAGATCGTTGCTAACCTACAGTTGACTGAAGATCGATCCTAGGCTATAGTTGACTGAAGATCGTTGCTAACCTACAGTTGACTGAAGATCGATCCTAGCCCATAGTTGACTGAAGATCGTTGCTAACCTACAGTTGACTGAAGATCGATCCTAGCCCATAGTTGACTGAAGATCGTTGCTAACCTACAGTTGACTGAAGATCGATCCTAGCCCATAGTTGACTGAAGATCGTTGCTAACCTACAGTTGACTGAAGATCGATCCTAGCCCATAGTTGACTGAAGATCGTTGCTAACCTACAGTTGACTGAAGATCGATCCTAGCCCATAGTTGACTGAAGATCGTTGCTAACCTACAGTTGACTGAAGATCAATCCTAGCCCATAGTTGACTGAAGATCGTTGCTAACCCACAGTTGACTGAAGATCGATCCTAGCCCATAGTTGACTGAAGATCGTTGCTAACCTACAGTTGACTGAAGATCGATCCTAGCCCATAGTTGACTGAAGATCGTTGCTAACCTACAGTTGACTGAAGATCGATCCTAGCCCATAGTTGACTGAAGATCGTTGCTAACCTACAGTTGACTGAAGATCGATCCTAGCCCATAGTTGACTGAAGATCGTTGCTAACCTACAGTTGACTGAAGATCGATCCTAGCCCATAGTTGACTGAAGATCGTTGCTAACCTACAGTTGACTGAAGATCGATCCTAGGCTATAGTTGACTGAAGATCGTTGCTAACATACAGTTGACTGAAGATCGATCCTAGCCCATAGTTGACTGAAGATCGTTGCTAACCTACAGTTGACTGAAGATCGATCCTAGCCCATAGTTGACTGAAGATCGTTGCTAACCTACAGTTGACTGAAGATCGATCCTAGCCCACAGTTGACTGAAGATCGTTGCTAACCTACAGTTGACTGAAGATCGATCCTAGCCCATAGTTGACTGAAGATCGTTGCCAACCCACAGTTGACTGAAGATCGATCCTAGCCCATAGTTGACTGAAGATCGTTGCTAACCTACAGTTGACTGAAGATCGATCCTAGCCCATATTTGACTGAACATCGTTGCTAATCCACAGTTGACTGAAGATCGATCCTAGCCCATAGTTGACTGAAGATCGATCCTAGCCCATAGTTGACTGAAGATCGTTGCTAACCTACAGTTGACTGAAGATCGTTGCTAGCCCATGATTGATTGAAGATCGTTGCTAGCCCATGATTGATTGAAGATCGTTGCTAGCCCATAGATGATTGATGATTATTGCTAGTCCATAGTTGATAGAAAGTTTTGTTGCTGAACAATAATTTATTGAAGATCATGTTGCTCGCCTGTATTTTATTATAGATCGTGTTTCACTGATCTTCAAGAAGAAAGCCTGTTTGGAGGCCAGGTGGATACTTAAGTGCATCATGTAAGAACTGTACATTTGAAATCGTCATCTATTTTCAAAAACAAACTGCGTTTTACCCAGCTGTTGATGACTTTGAGCCTCAACTTGAGAATAACTGTAAAAAGCAATTTAAAATTACTCCCTTTTTATAGGGTCTCTATTACGGGAACCACTTTGTAATATTCTTTCTAATATTCTAAATATCAACTTTTTCAAAAAAGATTTCGCTAAACTCCATCGGCCGAAGAGAATAAAAATGCTTTTTAAACTATTCACCTCAGAAAATTTTATTTTACTTCTGAATTTTACTATGAAAATGGCTGGCGTAGATTCGTTTACTTTGCTGTCGCAATACAGGATTAGTTACCTGCGACAGGGAAACATTTCGTTCTTGAGTGAAAGTGAATACACAGTGGATCCGGAATTGAAAATCAGAAAGCCAAGTTCCAATTCCAGTGGGGTTCGTTATATTCACTTTGGTAGCAGCCAGATGCTTCATCCTTGAGCAAACTCCAGATAAGTGTAAAGTCAGCTTTAGTTGTACTTCAAGTTGATCTTACGGATACTTGTGTGAAATTGAACGAAACAACAAATGTTTAACTCAACATACCATTTGAACTCAGTATACCATTTGAACTCAGTATACCATTTGAACTCAATATACCATTTTCCCCGCCGATAACCACTACGCTACGCACAAAGCACGTATTCACAGATAGAGAGATTTACTATTAATGTAAACGTAACTTTTAATGGGTGCACGTAATTGAGTTGATATCTCCGTGTTTTGTTTGTTTTGTTTTGCTGATTTCTTCTAAAAAATTGTATTTTATGTCAATCAACCGTGTAAGAAAGGTGTGTAGGGATTTCCTACGAAAGAAAAATGTGCCTCGCGACAGGAACCGAGCCTGTATTCTCTTTCTCCGCCAGAGAAAACACTCCCATAGCCGAAACATGACTTTACCAATTAACACAAAAAGTTTGACATTATATGCATGTCGTATAAATAAAAAGAACATTAAAAAAATTTTAAAATTAGATAGATAGATATATATGAATATACTCTGACAGATAGATAGATAGATAGATAGATAGATAGATATGAACATACTGTGATAGATAGATAGATAGATAGATAGATAGATAGATAGATAGATAGATAGATAGATAGAATATACTGTGATAGATCGATAGTTATTAACATGAGGGTGCTGATAATGACCAAGCATCAGAAACTCAGCAGAGGAGGACTTCTTAGTTAAACCGGGAAATTTTCAGCACCTCCCCGTAGATAAACATATGTGAAGTGTTTTGGCAGCCATTCTCTTAATTGGCATCATTTCAATTGGATTTTCTTTTGTTCATAATCGTAGTGAAACAAATGATTATAATTTCAATATGTAAGCATTTTTGCAAATCTGTCCATACCTCTTATCTTCAATCTGAATAAATTAATTCTTTGCAAATTCAACTGTCTTCTCTCATTAACGTACAATCGTCAAAATCAATAGTTGAATCGGCCTATTTGACTGTCATTTATTGGTCCGTTTCATTTGCGAACCAGAAATCTTTGTGCGTAATAAAAAAGCGAACTGCCGTTCTGATAATTGCTCCAGCTTCTAGTTTTAGCAAATAGCTATTTGGCTGTCTTACCCACGCAGACGAAGAAAAGGCACGTAGACAAATTTTAATGAAGTAACGCACGACACATCGGTATGCGGTTTAGAGGTAAAAATGGCTCGATCTCTTTTGAACGGGAATAGAGATTTATCCTCTGTTTCCTGTTTAAGATCGGGTTTCCGGTTCCTTTTTAAAGTCTTTGTTATAGTGGAACACACCTATTCTATTGTTAATAGACTCTCCCACCTATAATAAGTAGGAGTAGTAGGAGTCGCTCAGTGTTTCGGTCAGTCAGTCGACTGGCTGATCGGTTGAACTCTCTGCCTCTGGGCGGGGAAGAACCCGAACGAGGCTACGCCGAAGGGCGGATTCTCTTTCAGGGAGGTAAACCGACCCTGAACCCGTTTATACGGCTTCAATGGGCATATTTTTGGCCGAGGCCACGGGCTCGGAGATCCCACGTTAAACCGTCCTTGTGCCACATGACGCCCTCGTGGGGTGGGGCTGAATATCTTCGGTCAGTCAGTCGATGCTGGACGACAGTTAGTCGAATACTAAAGTATCAGCGACCACAACTAGATTACTCTGCGTTATACCTATTATATCAAGTTCCTAACGTTTTGTACGTCGAACCTATTTTAGGACCGACTTAGTACAAATACAAGCCCTCACTGTGAAACCACTCCACAACAGTCTTCTCTTTCTCTTTCACTCCCAGTAGCTCCTTCAGTCTTAGTGGCACTATCACCTTGTTTGGGGTGAATTGATTTTAAAAATACAATGCGGAGATATTGCCCTGAGGAACCGATCACTAGAACCGTAACCCATTCGGATTGTTTGTTCGTTTCTTTGTTTGTTCGTTTCTTTGTTTGTTCGTTTCTTTGTTTGTTTGTTTAACGGCATATCAACTCCTTATGGGTGATTTAATGCCGACATTTAATATTCTTCGGACCTTGTGTAATTTTTTTCTTTTTAGAAAAAAATCTATTGCTGATAATTTATTTTTTTATTTCGTTTTTTTTTAACCTATACTTTCGGGGTTTTTTTTTACCCTAATTTGGTGGTTCACTATTTGCCCATAGCTGGAACCCTAACAGGTGCTACCACCCTGGGTCAGAGTAGACGTGGGAACAACAGAAATTAAGAGGTGGTTCCACGCTCCTCAAAATCTCCAATCTCCCGATCAGAGGCCTTGTTGCCGGATGTAGTTTATCGTCATACCGATGACAAAGATCTGTACCAAATAACAGAAACCACTTCAGTTGAAGACATTCAACAACTGCAACAACTAAAATAGATACCTCGAAGATAAAATAATAGCAAAATCAAGATATTTATATTCCACACTACTTGAAACAAAATGTTAGGAAGGAAACCTTCGTCAACACTGGAAATGCCAATAGCAGTTAATGAACTTGAGGAACATGTTTTTTTGAAAAATTGAAAAGAAAAAGTATTCATAAATTTCAGCCGAAAGTGACACAGCCTAAATGCCAAATATTTCCTTATAAGGGAACGGCTAATATTACTATTACCATAGCCATTAAGGCAAAGCTTGTTTGCTAACGATCATTTCATTTTAGAAATACTAAACTTATTTAGTGATCTAGCACATTATTCTTATTGTCATGTTGTGAGGCGGCTAATTATATTATTATGTTGGAAGGCGATTAGTTATATGGCTAAGTTGCGAAAAGGCTAATTGTATTATTATATTGGGAGGCGATTATTTTTATTGTTATGTTGTGAGGGCTATTTATACTATTATGTTCTGAAGTGATTATTTATATGGCTAAGTTGCAAAACGGCTAATTATATTATCATGTTGTGGGTGATTATTTATATGCCTATGTTGCAAGACTGTTAATTGCATTATTATGTTCGGAGGCGATTATTTATATGTCTATGTTATGAGAAAACAGACTGTATTGCACGTTTGCCATCTGGCTGATCATATTGCTTCGTTGTAAAGAGACTAATTATGTTGGTCGGTGGTTGATTATTTCGCTCTATTCTGAGACTACTAATTAATTTGCTCTGTTGTGTTTCTTATTACTACTGATTATTGTTAAGCTGTGACGTCTGATTGTATTGTAATGTTATCAGTCGGCTGATTATATTGGTATATTGCGAGGTGAGTGGTTATAATTGCTATTTTGAAGTACCTGGTTATATCGCAATATTAGACTGTTGTGAGATAAATAAATATATTATTATATAATAAGGAGCCTATGTTACTATATTGGGTGACGGTTAATTATATTTTTGTTGTGAGGTGACTAATTTTATTGCTGTGTTGTGAGGCGGCTTATTATCTCTATCTATAAAAGGCAGGATGTGTGTGTGTGTGTGTGTGTGTGTGTGTGTGTGTGTGTGTGTGTGTGTGTGTGTGTGTGTGTGTGTGTGTGTGTAACGAATGCACGGCCGCAATTTTCGACGGATTTGCACCAAAATTTACATGCACATGTTCCAAGTTAGCAGGAAGGCCAAGACCGACTTTGCATTTCCTAACTCCCATCGATAGTGGAAATAATCGATTTTTTCATGCTTCTACGGCAGTTTTCATGTAGTTTGCGGCCATTTTGTACTGGTCAGAGTGCGAGCCAATAGCTAGCTGTCACGAATAGGCCGGAAGATTCTATTGGCCAGCGTGAGAGCCAACAGCTGACTGACACGAATGTTAACTAGCATGCTAGCATGCAAAAGAATACGATAGCTGCATTCGTCACAAGTGGGAAAAATTTAAATCTGCATGGCACTTTACTCCAATTGGCTCATTCGCTTGCTTAAACTCAACATTGATTCTGATTCCGCAGAACTGGGTTGAGTGTGAAAAAGTATTTGTTGTTAACATTCTTTTTTCATTCGGTTTTTCCAGTTACGAGTCCTTTCTTAAAGCTGATCGTTTTGTGTTCATTTTGTTTAGTTCTTTTTTCGTAACAGATTTAATGTTTAGTATAGAGCTTAGAAAAAAAATTCGCAGTAGCAACATCAGCACGCCAAAGGGCATTCCTTTAAAGGCAAGGAAGGGCAAAAATATTTTAAGTCAAGTGATAGCGATTGCTGAATGAGTCGTACGATTTTTGAATCAAGCACGGTCAACGCTGGGCCATGCTGCTAGTTTTACTCTATTGTGAAACGAGAGATTATTTTTTTATATGTTGTTAGTAGGGCTTATGGCCATATCCGATTGATACACCGAAGTTAAGCAATGTCGAGTCTGGTCAGTAATTAGATGGGTGACTGCTTGGGAATATCAGGCGCAGTAGGCTTTCGTGTGCGTGTAGTGGATAATGGCTCGGTATTGTTAATCGGAGAGCCGTGTTCTAATTCCACTTGGGTCCGTTATATTTATTTACACGCAAATAGCCTTCAAAATGGTATGAGTCTTCCTCCCAGTTATGGGTTAATTTGTAAGACTTCTATCACTATTAAACCATTATTATCTTCAGAAAATTGTTCTTACAACGTAAAAGTATTTTCTGGCTTTACATAACCTGCAAAGTGTTGATAAGCCATAGAGAACGAATCAACCAATCAAATACTGATTAGCTACGCAAGCATGTCTTTTAGATTTATTTACATTCTGTGGGATATAAATGTTTAGAAAATACCGTGGACACGAAGTGGGAGATCAATTTATATTGATTGTAATATAGAATTGATCCCCCACTTTATTATAATTTCATCTTTATTCATCAAATTTTGATTAGATATGAATACCTCTTTTACCCAACTATGTATCACTAAAGCATTATCTCCAGAAAAATTCTTACAATCTAAAAGTATTCTATGACTTTAAATAACCTGCAAAGAGTTGATAAGCCGTAAAAACTAATTAATCAATCAATCACAAGTTCTAATCGCGTATCACGATTTTTGTCGAAATTAAATAGGGCAATGTCAAAATATATCAAGAAAAAAGTAACTATATCTCTCTATCCCGTAACCCATTGGGGTCTAAGGGGCACTAGGTGTACTGCAGCCATAGTAGCACTGCTGTGTCCTAGGCAAGATAGCCTAACCCTCTCTAGGCCGGTTTGAATTCAGAGTTTTTCCTTCTCCTAGACTAATCGCCAACCAAGGCTATAGTCTGCTCCTGCTATTTACTCATAGGTGGAAGCAGAAGAAAAAAAGAGTTGAACAGATATGTAATAGCAACTCTCTTATATGGCAGCGAATTCTGGACAATTTCCTCATAAAGGAAGAGAAGATTTGAGGCAACAAAGATGTCTACAGAGGAATGTTGAGAATAATATAGTAATTTTCCAAGCGTAGCTTGGATGTGACACAAGGCCGAAAGTATGGGGCACCCAGTGAGGATCGAACTCACTACTCAGTCGTAAGTGATCTAGCAAGACAAGCTTTCTAACCATTACACCACGTCAAGGTGACCATGTGGGGAATAATATAGATGGGACATGCGAGCAACGAGAACGTTTTAAGGAACATGGGAAAAAAAATAACACTTATACTTAAAAATGGACACTTCTCTGTGGTGTAATGGTCTGCAAGGTTGTTTCGTTATATCAGTTACGACTGAGTAGTGAGTTAGATCCTCATTGGGTGCCCCATACATTCGGCCATATGT